AGGCTGTATTCCAAGGCTCTTCCGGATGTCACTATTCCGGACCATGTCGAGACGCGTAAGGCCAGCAACTGACTCGTCTCAGAAAGCCCATTTCAGCTGCTGTTTTGTTTTTGTTTTTTTCGCTGAACGATCAGTCTCTGATCACTCCTATTAACAGACCTGCCTTGTGTAGACTAGTGGGCTTCGGTGACGACTACCGTTTCTTGCATCTTTATGAATATGCAGCTGAAATATGCTTTGTTACTGATTTTGGTACCTTCGATCCTCGGCTTCCATCAAACCTATCTTTCTCAGTTGCGAAGTTCATTAAAAGTGTGCAAAACGGTGTTTATTCGTCACATTCGTCGTAATCTTGATTTACACTCAATTGTTGACTCAAAATTGTGTTAAACTTCACCGATGCTTATTTCTCAAGTTGCGCAAATTGAATTTTCATACGATGTCTAATTGAAGCGCGTCAAGACGTTTACGCTTTCAAATATTCATTACATAACGAACTTGCTTCTGAACCAATATTTTGACCGCATAATACTTCTCTCCGTTTTTACAGACAGAAAACAATCCAGATAGTTAATGATCATGATTCCGACTACTAGTTTACAGTTCTTCTCTGACAGGATCTGTTTCGATGCAACCAGTCAAGGATTCGTTTGGCTTTTTGACGACAACTACTTTATTTCAGTGACTTCCATGGCAAGTACTCATCTTTTTTCTCTTAGTGGTATGCTCATTTCCAAGTTGCCATCGTAATCTTTCGATGCGAATGAGGTCGAAGTTCCATGTCTGTTGAGCTGTCTTACCTATGCACCGAACATATTCTAAGTATCGTTGCGGATACAGTAAATTGCGACAACAGGAAGTAATGTACGAGTTTTACATAATTTAATAATATTGAAACGAATGTAGATTGCTAAACTGAACTCTGTGTTGATCCAAGTCTTTCAATTTATTTCTCATGCTACTGAGCAATGAATTCGGATTTGTCATGATAGTGCAAAACATTTCGTTTCTAACATTTGCTACTTTTCCAGCGTTTGAACATCCTAGTTGTCGTCGATTACTGCACCGTAAAAGAAACAGTTC